AAAATCGTTTCCCGTCAAAATATTTTTTTGGGGATGCCGTATGCGGGGTCTAGGCGCTTGTGGGGGGAAATCTTGAAACGGGAGGATGACACACGGGGTAAGAACATATACCCAAAGTTTCAGCCCTCCAGCTTTCCTGGTTGCTTAGATGAAAGTGGGTGACAAAATGCACTCGCTTCTGAGCACACACACAGAGCCTCTCGACAATATGAGTTTTTGCTCGCTGTAGCGCCGCATAAAAAATTTGAATGATTAATTTCACAAATTCGTAAAGAAAACTGAAAGTCTTACTCGCCAGGAAACCCGAATCTGTGTTGGTCCAAGAGATGTGGCTCGTACATCAAAAGGTGGGCGACGTGGTGCGGTGCATTTTGCCCCAGTAAAGACATTCACAACTGGTGATGTGTACGCAATACCGTTATTTGCATCGAGCGCATGGATCCGGATTTGATAGCTACGTCCAGCAGGTAGTTCTCGAAGATCAACACTATATGGGCGTTGCCACCCTACGTATGGAACCTAAAAGCACGGTAAGATTAACCAATCAACTGTTTTTCGTTTTAATCAACTATTTTTTAAAATCTTACATCAATTTTTAAACTTCTGCATGAAAAAATTTGAAAAATTTCTTTATGTATTGGCAATTCAGCAATCAAAAGCTCTAATAGATGGGCGAAAAATGAATAGCTGACTGGTATCCCAGTGTATTAAAAGAGCAGTAGAAGGGCACCAGATGGGCTGATCCATTATTCCGAATATATAAAGTGATGTGGTGCGGAAAGCACACGCTTGTAGTCGGTGGAAAGGTTATCACTTGCGCAGCTGGAGATGTAGATTAAGAAATAACAGTGAACCATTTCAATTACTAATGAACTTTTAAATCATTTTGAATAGAAAATGGAAATGTGCTTTTTTAAAAAAGAGGTTTTATTCGTTCTTGAATTCTTTATCTGCGTATGTGGGAAAGAGACGATTTGAGGCGCAAAAAATTTTGGGGATTTTCCATGCGAAAACGCTATTAAACAGGGAGGGTATCATACCTGAATGCGAAGTTTATGCCAGTTAGTGTCGGCTTCGGTTCGATATTCAACCCTGTATCCCTGTAAGAGATCGTCCACTCGTTCTTTACTTGTCCACGTTAACAGTGGGATTCCATGGCGGAAAGTTACCGTTGGCGCAATAATCAGCTCACCAACAGGCGGTGTCCGAGCGGTAGCTAGCTGCGACCAAGGTGAAGCACCGGCGGAATTTCTAGTCCGAATTCGCACTGCCCACTGTTGATTGGCTTCCGAATCAAATACGTGTGTTGTCTGGCGTCCACTTAGCAACACTGGTGCCACATTT